CTTTCCTTTCTATTAAAGGACAGTTTTCTTTGTAAGCTGAGACAATGGAGTCCTGTAGCATATTTACAGCCCTTTCAGTACCTGTCTCGACCTCAATCTAAACTGTAGGTTAATCAGGTCATGCGAGAGATCTGCCCTGTATTTGTCCCAGTTTGTTCTTTTCGGGTTCCTATAGTAGTACTCTGTCTCAACNCGGGTTCCTATAGTACTCCGTCTCAACTTTGTTAATTTCCAAAGTGAATCGTAAGTGCCTATGATCAGAAAGAGAAGGTTCGGAGGACACTTTCCACCCTTTTATCTTTTGAAGTAACCCTTTTGAACAAACTGTTAAATCAATGACTTCCTGCCTGTTCCTTNACAAACTGTTAGATCAATGACTTCCTGCCTGTTCCTGATAACAAAAGTAGGTTCACTACCTCTGTTCAGTATACTTAGGTCTGTAGTCAGCAATAGATCCATTATAACCTCTCCTCTTTGGTTGATGTTACTGCTCCCCCAAATAGTGTGGTGTGCATTAGCATCCATACCTAGGATTAGTTCTAATTTTTCATTTTTGCAATAATTAAAGAGCATAGTTAGGTCCCTACCTGGGTCTGTGACCTCATATGGTAAGTATCCTGAAGCTACTATGATATTTTTACCATCATTTAGTGTTACTCTAATAATAGTCAAGTCTGCACTTGATAGATTAAGTATCAGGCTGGCTTTAACTTTATTATTAACCAAAATGCAAGTTCTTGGTTTATCTGCTTGTTTATGAAACAGTTTAAAATCCCTTAGATTTAGCCCCTTAATCTGGTCCCCATTTATCCATGGTTCCTGAATAAGTGCTATTTGTAAGGGTATTGTATGCCTCTCAGTTAGGGTCCTTAGTAATACACTACTGGCCCCTTTACTGTGATGCAGGTTTATTTGGGTGAATTGAATTCTATTGTCAGCCATTCAGAAAAACTGATGTTGACGCTTAAGAAAGCACGCTGTACTGGGTGTGATACAGGTGTCTGAAACAGTCCCTGTGTCACACAGCCCCCTCTGTGGGTGGTGTCCCACCGCCGTCTTCAGGTGGCGACCGTGCCTTGGGTTCGCTCTCCACATTTCCTTTTGGATCCGTGGAGAGGTTCCCCTCAGCTGTGGCCGTTGTTGAGGGTGGCGGTTTCCTG